GCTAAGGACAACCATGCTAGGACACTGTGCTAGGGTCAACCATGCTAGGACACTGTGCTAGGGACAACCATGTTGAGACGCGATGCTGGGGACAACTATGCTGGGATCTTTCTAGGTCTTACTCATCCTACGTTTTGCCCATACAGCAGACCATTCTCTCTCTCTCATCCTTATATATATATATATATATATATATATATATATATATATATATATATATATATATATATATATATATATATATATATATATATATATATATATATATATATATATATGTATATATATATATATATATATATATATATATATATATATATATATATATATATATATATATATATATATATATATATATATATATATATATATATATATATATATATATATATATATATATATATATATATATATATATATATATATATATATATATATATATATATATATATATATATATATATATATATATATATATATATATATATATATATATATATATATATATATATATATATATATATATATATATATATATAAGCCGCCTGCTATCGCTGTATCTATCGATGATTTCTGTGTTTTTTGTTAAGACTTCTCTGGTGATGGTTTGGTTGTGGGAAGAGATTATATGTTCCTTAATGGAGCCCTGTTGCTTATGCATCGTTAATCGCCTGGAAAGAGATGTTGTTGTCTTGCCTATATACTGAGTTCTTTGAGGCTTGCAGTCCCTAAGTGGGCATTTGAAGGCATAGACGACATTGATCTCTTTTAAAGCGTTCTGCTTTGTGTCTGGAGAGTTTCTCATGAGTAGGTTGGCCGTTTTTTTGGTTTTATAGTAAATCGTCAATTGTATCTTCTGATTTTTTCTGTAGGGATAACGTTCCTATTAACAATATCTTTCAGGACTCTTTCCTCCGTTTTATGGGCTGTGGAAAAGAAGTTCCTGTAAAATAGTCTAATAGGGGGTATAGGTGTTGTGTTAGTTGTCTCTTCAGAGGTTGCATGACGTTTCACTTTCCTTCTTATGATATCTTCCACGAAACCATTGTAGAAGCCGTTGTTGACTAGGACCTGCCTTACCATACAGAGTTCTTCGTCGACTTGCTTCCATCCTGAGCTGTGGCTGAGGGCACGGTCGACATAAGCGTTAACAACACTCCTCTTGTACCTGTCCGGGCAGTCAATGTTGGCATTCAGGCACATTCCTATGTTTGTTTCCTTAGTGTAGACTGCAGTGTGGAAACCTCCGCTCTTTTCCATGACTGTTACATCTAGAAAGGGCAGCTTCCCATCCTTCTCCATCTCGTAAGTGAAACGCAATACAGAATTCTGCTCAAATGCCTCCTTCAGCTCCTGCAGATGTCTGACATCAGCTACCTGTGTAAAAATGTCGTCAACATACCTGCAGTATATGGCAGGTTTCAAGTTCATGTCGACTAAGACTTTTTGCTTGATGGTACCCATGTAGAAGTTTGCAAACAGGACACCTAGGGGAGAACCCATGGCGACCCCATCTACTTGCTTATACATGTGCCCATCCGGGCTCAAGAAGGGTGCCTCTTTAGTACAAGCTTGGAGTAGTTTCCTTAGAATATTTTCTGGTATGTCAAGAGGAGTACAGGCCGGATCACGATACACACTGTCCGCTATCATCCCGATTGTTTCATCCACAGGAACGTTGGTAAACAGTGATTCTACGTCCAACGAGGCTCTTATCCCTGTGGCCCGTGTTCCCCGACTCCGCTCCATTATAGAATCATCGGGCCTTGAATAGTAGGCTGAGAAATGCGTTCTGGCTACTAGGTACGACATATATATATATATATATATATATATATATATATATATATAAGGATGAGAGAGAGAGAGAGAATGGTCTGCTGTATGGGCAAAACGTAGGATGAGAAAGACCTAGAAAGATCCCAGCATAGTTGTCCCCAGCATCGTGTCTCAACATGGTTGTCCTAGCACAGTGTCCCAGCATGATTTTCCCTAGCACCAAGTCCCAGCTTGGTTGACGCAAGCGAGTTTGAGCCCTGTGGTCTCTCCCCCCCGTGTTGCCACCACCTTCAGGAGGGGGAGTGAAGGGATAGGTGGGGGTTGCCTCGTCGGGGGGCGATGTATCAGTTGCTGATGTGGAGTCTGGACCCCGTATGATGATCTGGGTGCGGCCGGTTCCCTGTTGCTCGTCCATTGTGTGGACGAGCAACAGGGAAGGATGGTCAGAGTGAAGGGCTTTCATCTCTGGTGTTCCTGATTTCATGACATGCCCTCAGGGGAAGTCTGGCGGACGTCCCAAGGAAGATGAGCGGATCGTTTGGAAGGCGTACTGTTTGCGGTTTCCGGAAAAGGATCATCCACATAAATATGTGTTGAGTTGCCTTCTCACGTATGTCCTTTGCCTTTGGTATATTGCTGTGTTTCGATTGTTGTCTTTGTTGTACGCCCTTCAGGCATTTTGATTGTTGATTTGTATTGTTTGTAACGTGTGATGCTTTTGTGTTCGTTTTGGGCTGACTTGGGTATTTGTCTTTTTGTATGACCCTGTTGCTATGTACTTCTGTATTTGTGTTGTCATAAAACACTACTGTGGGATTGGTTTGGGAATTATTGTTTTGTTCCCTTGTAACTTGTACTTTTGTTGTTAGTTTCTTTTTTGTATTTGTTTTTATGGTATTTATGTAGCATGGTTCCGTATGTAAATATATATAAAAAAATCAACATGATAGAAAGTCGTGATATAAAATTGTTCACCATATTTTTCCTCACCTGTTCTCCTACTCAATTGTTCACATCTTCACTATTAGTCAACAAGGACTTCTATCACCGCCTCCGCTCGAGCACACTCTCAATCATCAAATTTCCATCAAAATCTTGTCGAGAACGAATGATTTTTTTTGTACTAAAAAAATACGTTTTTGTCTGTTACTAAAAGCCATCGTCATGGGGTTTTGAGGTCTCTGTGTCTCTTCAGCATATTGGACCAGAGCCCGTTCCTCATTAATTACTCAAGTCCTTGCCCTCATTAGGTAGAATAGGTCCCCCCCCTCCCCCTGGCAACCAGACAGCCACCTTCTCCGGGGCAGAAACCAATTATGCGCAGTGAATGTGTGTTGTGTCCGGCCGTCGCTTGCTGGTCTTCACGGTGGTTGGCGAGACGAAATTGGTTTTAGCCTAAGTGGCCAAGCAGTCACATTACCACTTTGAAATCGATTTTCAGTTTTTGGCGCGTGTGCTCTGCGGACCGCTGGACCGGAACCAAGCAATGGGGCTCTGGAAATTATGACAGCAACTGAAACCTCGTATACCAGGAACGGTCTAGGATGCCTGGTGAATGTGAGCGGGAGGCGCGATGCCTGGCACCCGGGTATGGCGCTCCATTGCCAGTCGTGAAGGCATATATACACTAATAATTAATGAATCACTATATATACATTATTTACGACAAGTGTTCCGCTGGTGCCAAACTGCGAGCCAGCGGCATTGTTTACATGTGCCAAGCAGTGCCTTCACTCCTCAGTTGGAGGAGTTCCTCCACCCCTCAGTTGGAGGAGTTCCTCCACCCCTCAGTTAGAGGAGTTGCTCCACCCCTCAGTTGGGATAGTGACTCCACCCCACAGTTGAAGGACTGTGTTCACCCGACAGTTGAGGCAGAGCTTCAACTGTCCAACTATCCTCGGGCCAAACTAGACCAGCCACCACACTACACAAAGACAACAGACGAACACACACTACTGGTGTAAGACTAACTACCTTTAACACACTAAGAGATACTGGAGGAAGTATTCTCTGTGTTTTCATGTTTTTCCCCCAAGTCCCTGAAACCACAACGTGCGGAATAAATACCAGGAATGTTGTAACGCTCATTATAAGCAAAATAGAGCAAGAATCTCAGAATTTCATTTGTATAGATATTATCTGATATCCATATTGTTCAGGAGGATGATATGGACCAGGTAGCTAAAGCAGCATGTGATAAACCTGAACTTGAGCTGGACGTAGGCATTTCGATTTCTTTTGTTAAAAAAGTCTTATTAACGAAGTTATGGCTACCAGAACTCCAATCACTGATATTCAAACGGCAGAAAGCACTATTATAAAGAGTTAGGTTTAGGACCAAGAACTATATAGACAAACAGCACAAAACATTGGACAGTGTGACAATGTAATCGCCAGAATTAATCTAGGATTTCGGTACTTGTAGCAGGTGGCAGCTGGCAATGAACCCAATCACGAAACATTCCAATTGTAAACAATGTGAACAAGCGCTGGGACACACTGTCCAGAACTATATCTCTGAGCGACCTGTTATCAGTGACTTCAAACCAAACTTTCACCTTTGCATCTCACGAATATTGGAAGTTATTATTGTGCAACACACAGAGTTTGCTAGTGAAAACCTCTTGACTAGACTCACTTTCCCATGTTTTGTCTTGAGTCCCTGTACGACTGACCATCCTGTGAGATGGACATACTAGATGAACTACACAGAGAAATAACATTAACGTGATATATAAATGAACAAATCCAGCAGGACCCTTGGAGAGGGTTCGAACCTATGCGCTGAGTGTTCCCAGACACGCACTAGTCAACTGCACCACGACATGGTCAAAAGAATTTTGACCATGTGAAACACTCATAGGTAGATATGATGAACCCATAGCTATGATGAACCCATAGCTATGATGAACCCATAGCTAGCTAGGATGAACTCATAGCTAGCTATGATGAACCCATAGCTAGCTATGATGAACTCATAGCTAGCTATGTTGAACCCATAGCTAGCTAGGATGAACTCATAGCTAGCTATGATGAACCCATAGCTAGCTAGGATGAACTCATAGCTAGCTATGATGAACCCATAGCTAGCTATGATGAACTCATAGCTAGCTATGATGAACCCATAGCTATAATGAACTCATAACTATGATGAACCCATAGCTATGATGAACCCATAGCTAGCTAGGATGAACTCATAGCTAGCTATGATGAACCCATAGCTAGCTATGATGAACTCATAGCTAGCTATGATGAACCCATAGCAAGCTATGATGAACCCATAGCTAGCTATGATGAACCCATAGCTAGCTATGATGAACCCACAGATAGCTATAATGAACCCATAGCTAGCTATGATGAACCCATAGCTAGCTATGATGAACCCATAGCTAGCTATGATGAGCTCATAGCTAGCTATGATGAACTCATAGCTGGCTATGATGAACCCACAGCTAGCTATGATGAACTCATAGATAACTATGATGAACTATACTCTGTTATCCTTCATATAGTTTAGCTGCATATTGCTGTGTGAACGAAAGTTTGTTACAACACAAAACACTTCCCCCTTCGCGGTTGAGGAAGGTGATTAGGCAGCATGTATACCTAGCCATGTATACCTCTTGCCCCCAGACGTACTCTGATATCCCTAGCCATGTATACCTTTTGCCTCCAGACGTACTCTGGCAGCATGGCCATGAATACCTCTTGCCCCCAGACGTACTCTGGTAGCATGGCCATGAATACCTCTTGCCCCCAGACGTACTCTGGTAGCATGGCCATGTATACCTCTTGCCCCCAGACGTACTCTGAAAGCATGGCCATGTATACCTCTTGCCCCCAGACGTACTCTGAAAGCATGGCCATGTATACCTCTTGCCCCCAGACGTACTCTGAAAGCATGGCCATGTATACCTCTTGCCCCCAGACGTACTCTGAAAGCATGGCCATGTATACCTCTTGCCCCCAGACGTACTCTGAAAGCATGGCCATGTATACCTCTTGCCCCCAGACGTACTATGAAAGCATGGCACAACATATGAGACGCTGTTTACAACGAAAAGAATTTGAAATGGACCATTTCAATAACCGTTATCAGTGTTTTAATTGAGGTTCACAACACATGTCAACACTGCTCTAGAACCCGAAGGTCTTGTCTTCCGGCTGAAGACATGGTGACCAAACCTCACACCGGAAGATGAGGAGACGACGACGTGTCGGTCCGTCCTGGACCAGCATCACACGAGTTGATTATGGTCCAGGACGGACCGAAACGTCGTCGCTTCTCCATCTCCTGGGTATGGAAATGCGTATGGAAATGTCAAGACACACAAGCCTGGAAACCCACTTCGGCCAATCATTAGCCAGATACCCACACCCACGTACAGGCTGGTGAAGCGACTCAACGGCCTGCTGACTCCTTATGTTCCCTGCGCCTTCAGCCTGAAGTCTCCAAAGGAATTTGTTGACTTACTGCGGGGCACACGGGCCACAGGGATAAGAGCCTCGTTGGACGTAGAATCGCTGTTTACCAACGTACCTGTGGACGAGACAATCGGGATGATAGCCGACAGAGTGTATCGTGATCCAGCCTGTACTCCTCTTGACATACCAGAAAATATTCTGAGGAAACTACTCCAAGCTTGTACTAAAGAGGCACCCTTCTTGAGCCCGGATGGGCACATGTATAAGCAAGTAGATGGGGTCGCCATGGGTTCTCCCCTAGGTGTCCTGTTTGCAAACTTCTACATGGGTACCATCGAGCGAAAAGTCTTAGTCGACATGAACTTGAAACCGGCCATATACTGCAGGTATGTTGACGACATTTTTACACAGGTACCTGATGTCAGACATCTGCAGGAGCTGAAGGAGGCATTTGAGCAGAGTTCCGTGCTGCGTTTCACTTATGAGATGGAAAAGTATGGGAAGCTGCCCTTTCTAGATGTAACAGTCATGGAAAAGAGCGGAGGTTTCCACACTGCAGTCTACACTAAGGAAACGAACATAGGAATGTGCCTAAGTGCCAACAGCGACTGCCCAGACAGGTACAAGAGGAGTGTTGTTAACGCATATGTCGACCGTGCTCTCAGCCACAGCTCAGAATGGAAGCAAGCCGACGAAGAACTCTGTAGGGTAAGGCAGGTCCTAGTCAACAACGGCTTCTCCAATGGTTTCGTCGAAGACATCATAAGAAGGAAAGTGAAACGCCATGCAACCTCTGAAGAGACAACTAACACAACACCTATACCCCCTATTAGACTATTTTACAGGAACTTCTTTTCCACAGCCCATAAAACGGAGGAAAGGGTCCTGAAAGATATTGTTAATAGAAACGTTATCCCTACAGACAAAAATCAGAGGATACAACTGACGATTTACTATAAAACCAGAAAAACGGCCAGCCTACTCATGAGAAACTCTCCAGACACAAAACAGAACGCTTTAAAAGAGACTAACGTCGTCTATGCCTTCAAATGCCCTCTTGGGGACTGTAAGCTCCAAAAAAAACAGTATATAGGCAAGACAACAACATCTCTTTCTAGGCGTTTAACGATGCATACGCAACAGGGCTCCATTAAGGAACATATAATCTCTTCCCACAACCAAACCATCGCCAGAGAAATCCTAGTAAACAACACAGAAATCATCGATAGATACAGTGATAGCAGGCGGCTTGACGTTTGCGAGGCACTACACATCAAGAAGTCAACACCAGCAATCAACAGCGAATTAATGCACAACTATATTCTACCCACCTCAAGACTCCGCTCCAATATAGAAGCATCAAGAAATATGGACCAATAGGCTTTCTACAAACACTTCTATTCAATAATCATTGTTTCGTGTTCTGTCTTGTGTTGATGAAATTAATACCCTATTAATGCCACCTCTTGTTCTGTCTTGTGTTGATGAAGTTAATACCCTATTAATGCCACCTCACCCCATCCACCTCACTAAAATGTAGATATAAAATCGGAGATGCGTAAGCTCTATTCAGTTGTGTATTTGTAAACTAAAGTCTTTGAAAATGTAATAAGTTTTACGAAACGCGTTCGTGTCGCGTCAGACTAGAAATAAAAATGAATTTTGGAGAATTGATTTTGATTTACCTCCAACAGTGAAAAGAAACGTACGAAAGATTGAGAAAATTCGTGTTAGAATTATTAATCTTACTTTTTCGGTCATATTTAATAATATATGTCTACAGGAAAGACTGCTACCAAAATATACTAATATATATATATATATATATATATATATATATATATATATATATATATATATATATATATATATATATTTATATATACATACTAGCAGTACCCGGCCATGCGTTGCTGTGGCTCAGCAACGCATGTGCGTTCATGAGCCACAGCAACCTTCCCTGTCTCCCAGTCCTCCCCACCATTCCCCCCTCACCCGTTTCTTCGGCCTCTAAACCATTCCCCACTCCACCATCCCCTCTTCCTTCCCACCATGCCCCACTCCCCTGTCACTTTGCCCTCCCCACCCTTCTCTATTCCCCCATCTCCTCGTCCCCACCATCCCACACTCCCCCCGTCCCCTTATCCTTCCCCATCATTACCCCCTCCCTTGTCCCCCTCGTCATCCCCACCATTCCCTACTCCCTCGTCCGATGCCTTCCCAAATGGTCTGATGTTCCCATCAGAAAATTAGGAACATCAAGTGATCTGATGTTCCCATCTCTGAAATATAATAAAGCACTTAAAAAATTAAATGAAACTATAAAAAAATAAAAAAAATAAACTATTCTCACGAAATGAACGGTATGGTAAACAACACAGCTCAATTCCAGCGCAATTCACACAAAATAATTAAATCAAAAAGAAAATATATCAAAATCTATGAAAATTCTATTTATCAGTGCAATCAGAAACGCTGAAATGGAATTGTAACATATATAGTATAGCATGTGTATTGCTCTTACATGCAACAGATGGCGCTGTTTTTCAAGAAAAGCATAGTTTTACCTGTCACAGGTGTGGCATCTATACATATACTTACGAAATGAATGGCATGGTAAACAACACAGCTCAATTCCAACACAATGTCACACATAATAATTAAATACAAAAATTAAATATATCGAAATCTATGAAAATAAAATATATCAATGCAATCGGAAACATTGAAATGGAATTCGTGACATATTTAGTATACCGTGCATGTTGCTATTATGTGCAACAGATGGCGCTGTTTATAAAAAACACATGTTTTTATCTGTCACAGGGGTGGCATCGTTATAGTAGGTATATGAAAAGAAAAGAAGTACCTATTCGAGTGCAACGTTGTATAAAAATTTCAAAGCAATCGGTGAAGAACTGTTTGAGATTACAGCATGTGTTGCCCTTACGTCCAACAGATGGCGCTGTTTTATAAAAAAAAACATGTTTTTTCCTGTCACAGATGAGGCATGTATATAGTAGATATATAAAAGACGCGCCTATTTGAATGCAACGTTTTGTCAAAATTTCAAAACAACCGGTAAAGAGTTTTCAAAGATTTCCTTCACATGGAAAAACTCATGAAAGACACAGTTTTTCAGAGAAAGCAGGTTTTTTATCCGTCACAGACTTGAGATCTATAAGGTATGTATATAAAAACCTGGACCTAGATTCAGGAAGCTCTGTGTATTTCTTCGTAAGTGGGTTTGCTACGAAGGTTCCTAAGTGCGCCCTAAGAAGATGCTTAGGTGCGATTCAATAAGGTATACTTGGGAAGAAAATTGTTGGTTCACCTGCGTGCCGATAGAGGTCACTACTGTGTTTCGTTTGGCCAATCAGAGAGCAGCAACATTCTTCATATTGAAGATTTAGCGCTGGCTTATCGGAGCTCTACTGCCTCCTATTTACGTCGAATTTTCTCATAAAATTAATATATTTCGAAGTAAAACAATGTTTTTTTCAACTTCTACAGCCAGCACCGACATTGTAGTAAACAAATATGTTACATTTGTTGTTTACTTACGTAATTCTAAGAGATACTGTGTAGCTGTCCTTGTTGCTCGGAAGATGTGCTGACAATTATTGAATATATTTACTGAATTTACCCAAGGGCCATTAACTATCTAGTGACCTCGAAGAGGACTGAAAGCCGGCGGCTTGTTAAAGGGCCCGCCAATTGTCTTAATGATATTTTTTAGCTGGAATTTGGCATTTACGGCTTCAGCGGGTAGGCGGTTCCATGGGTTTATAGCCCTCTTGGTGGAAAAAAAACATCTGTTTTCAGTCCTACTTGAGAGAACATACTCTCCAACACTATATCTGTGATTGTCCTGTTATCAGTGACTTCATACCAAATGGTATGAGGTATTTTGAGCTCTGTAATTACTTCATACACTCAGGAATATTGGAAGATATTCTTGTGCTGCACCCAGATTTTGCCAGTGGAGGCTAATAGATCAGCATTAAGTATTTTGTTCTCTCCTAATTCCATGTATGACTGGCCATCCTGTGAGGTGAGGATGTTGGGTGAGCTTGTAGCTGGTTTTTGATC